TATCATCATAAATAAAAGCTATTACACCCCCCTAAAGGAATTGAAAAATCCAAAGTACCACCCACCTGAAACAAATGCCCATTTTTTTTTTACAAAGGAAAAAGTAGTATTTTAATGGAAAATAAAGGTCCTATAAATCTAAAAAAAAGTTCATAGAGATGTACCACTTTCCAGCAAACAGGTACAATCTGACAATGCGGACAGATTTGTATTCTTACATTGTATTTTGTCAGGACTGAAATGTGTAATGGCAACTGTCTACATCCCATCTCCCTATTCCAATGAAGCATTTAAAATTTAAGCGCAATTCGTCTCAGACATTTGGGAAGATTTACTAAAATTGGAGCACACTTAGATGCATGGTAGCCAATCAACTTGTTCAATTAAGCTTTGACAAAGAAACTTGGAAGCTGATTGGTTTCTATGCAGAGCGGCACCAGGTTTTGCTCTCTCCAGTTTAAAATTTTAAATCCCCCCCAATTGCCTATTCCTGTTCTGCTTCTGGGAGATTTCAACAATTGTATAAAACCCGTAATGGATTGATTTCAACATCTGTTCAAGGTCTTCCTAATACTCCCCAGTTTCCTAGGCTGTGCTTGGTCTATCTGATCTGTAGCAGAGTTCACACCCATAAGACCATCATTATATCTGTTTTTCTAAATCACATACAATAACTCTTTATCTAGAATACACTTAGCACTGGGCACGTCTACCTTCCTACCATTTATCCATTCCACTGACATTTGTCCCAGAGAGCTACCTGACCACTCCCCTATAACCGTAACCCTCCAGATAGGGGACAGAACCATTAAAAAATTTGGTAGCTCAACCCATGTTAGTTGACCCTTCTACCACCTGATGTCCTTGAAACCTATTTAAGAGGCCTCTTTATAAAACAGCAAAATTAAATCTAAGACTAGATTGACAGAGGAGGAAATGCTGAGAGGTATCTTGATCTGAAGCGTCCTATGTTAATAACTATTAACTCAAAACCAGTTAGAGTGGAGATCTGCTCAGCAAACACTCAACAAATTCACTTGTCACAAAGCTCAAAATAAGTGTTTCTTTCAAAAACAGGCTTTTTGGCCAGAAGTGGAGAAAGTAGCTTCCCAAAAAACTACTAGTTCATATCGCAAGTTCTCAACAGCCTAAACCATATGTACAATAAGTGCAATTACAGATGTCTCTGGAAAGCTTTATATTTGTGTATTGTATTGTTACTGTATTGTATTGTTACTGTACTGTCTCCCATTATAATGTACAGCGCTGAGCAAACTGTTGGCGCTATATAAATACTGAATAATAATAATATAATAATAATATTAACTCTAGTGATATCCTCAATAACTTTGCAAGCTTCTATTTACATTCATGTACTTCATAGTCTTATCATTCATCCAATAATATAGAAACATTCCTCCATAATATTCAGCTCATGAAGCTTTTGGAGAAAGACCAATCGTTTTTAGACTGCTTTGACTTTGGAGGAGTTGGACTCAACCATCATGAGCTTCCCAAATTGCAAATTCCCTGGGACAGACAGCATTCCTATGAGGCCACAGGGGTAGTGATCTAAAGAAATGCAAAAACCCTCTCCTGCCAGATTCATACTGTCCTATCTCCCTCCTGACAACTGATGTCACAATTCTAGCTAAAGCACTGGCATGGAGGCGGTCTAAACTGATCCACACTCATTACAGATCCCTATCAGACAGGATTTATACCAAATAAATCCACAACACTTAACATCCAAAGAGTTTTTCTGAACATACAAATCCCAACCGACAACCCTGGACACAGACCTGCTAGCACTTGAAATAGCCAAGGCATTTGATTGTGTGGAATGGGAATATCTGTAGGCTGCCTTCCACAGATTTGGCCTGAGTTCAGTTTTTGTCAAATGGGTGAGTCTCCTATATGCCAAACCCACAGCTAGGATCCTAATTAATAATTCACTCTCCCTTCCTTATAATGGAGCGAATGCACCACAATCCAAGACAAGAGTTTTGTTCGCAGTTGCAGGGCAGCCACATTGACTTCAATGACTTAGCATTATTTTCTGCAGACATATGCCACATTTTACACTTTTTTCTGTGGCCTCAGTGCAAAGCACAAGACATATGAACAGCATCCTCTGGTTGTATTTTTTACACTTTAAGTTTAGGTATGGGTATTTCGGTGGCGCACATTAGGTGAAGTACCTTTTTTCATACTGCTGCCCCCGGGCCTGCTGTGGCAGAAGAGAAACACAGCAGAAGGGCTGACAACACTGGTTAGGATGTTGGTGCAGAAAAAGTCTCATTGTTCCTATCCCAAACAAAAAGTTAGGAGCTCATTTTTTTGTATGTGATTAGAATTACTGAAAGTGAAGCATCCATCAATCAACATGTTCCCTCCCCCATAGTTTTGTTAGTGGACATGAGGGCGTGGGCTGTCATTTATCTTTAAAGTGATACTAGTCAAACACACACATGCTCAGTTTGCAACGTTTCCATTATTCCTTCTCTTTAAGTTTATGGATAATGGCACTGAATGTATTTACTGTATTTAGTTTAATTTAAAAAAAAAATCCTAAATGTTAAGTACCTTTTTTTTCATACTTGATAAACAGTTGTCACATGACCCAGCTAGCTTTCTCAGCCCATCTGCAGGGAAACATCAGCAGAATTAGGGTCCATAAGTCTACCTTTACATTTAGACATTTGGCGGCAGTAAGCATTATGAAAATAGAAAACCATCTTGATGCCACCTACAGAAGCTCTAGTCCTCTGCTTCAAACTACAAAGGAAAATACATAATTAATATCAAATAATTGTTTTAAAACATCATATAAAGATGTATTTTAACTCTAAGCTTTTTAGAATTTGGCGGCAGTAGCTAGAAGGTTCTGCCGAATTCACAGCACTTTTCAATAATGGGGCAGAGACCAATAAACATTATAGTTTTTGCAAAAGGGTAAAGATTTGCCATACATTTTCCCTGTGGAGAGGCCTGTGACATGGGTGATCCTCCAGGTACTCTGGTTTCCTTCCACCCTCTAAACACATAAATAGCAGGAGGGAGCAGTAGTTATATAGTCCACCAGGCTGATTTCACTGAAGCAAAGACACTGTGCTCAATTGATGCCACTGCAGACTCTAAGTCCCCTGCCTAGAAATTGGTTCAAAAACCACTAGTCAGCCTAGAGAAATTTCCAAACTGGTTTTTTACAGAATGTCCAAATTTCTGGAAAAGAAGTAGCCCAGTCATTTCATTGAAATTTTTTTTTATGACCCTCTTTAATTGTTCTGCTGGCTAGGGGTCTGTTATCTTTATCCATTCTTCACTACTTTGCAAATCATTGACCTTCAACAACATGCATCAGGAGAGGCTGGAGGTGAAACAAGGTTAGTGATAATGTCCACCGAGAGTCAATGCCAAACATCTGCTATATTTTCCTCCATTCAGTTGGCATGGTGACATGGGAACCTCAAGGTGTCACCACATGATAATGGATATTTGAGGTATAAAAGTCTCCTGTGGACCTCAGAAACTCCCATTGTCTCACCATGAAGTGTCTTCTCCTCCTCTCAGTCCTTGGCCTTGCTGGAAGGTTCTCAAACAAAACCTTTCCATTGAATAACTTAGTAATAACAATATAAATGTCATATCTTGTAAATGGTGAAGCCTTATTTATTAAACAGGAGGCCTTTTTCTCTAGGCAGGTATAAAAGACACAGATTGATGCAGCTCTGTAATGACTAATACATTGTTAATTGTATTTTTTTGAGGCTAGTAGTGTTCCTGTAGTACTTGAATTGACCTGATATCAGCCTCTTGCAGCCCCCTGTCGAGCACAGCCAGAGTGTGGGAGGAAGAAATAGTACAAGGGTCCAGTCAATTCATGTGTTGACAAGATGCATGCTTATAAGAGGAGAGAGCAGAGTGACAGAGAGATGAACTTATCACTGTGCTGTTTATCCTTTCACTGTCCAGTGACAGGCTCGGGGTGGGTACAAGACAACCTGGGCTCAGAGGAAGTGGGTTGAATGATGCTGACCATCAGACTAAGAGCATCCAGAGGCAGAAAAAAGCAGGGGAAATGTCTGAGTTGAAGTTGGATATTGCACCAAAAATGGGTTCAATTATTTGCTTTAAAGCTGAACCCCAGGAATCTTTTTCACTTTGGCCCAGCCTGGTTATATCTAGTTCTTCATATCTCACATCTGGAGGGCCACTGGGGATGGAGAAGTTCACTGTTGTAACCTGTGCTATATGTTGTCAGTGCTGACCCAGGAACCTAGTGTGAGATAGCATCCATCATAGCATCCCCATGAGATAGCAAAAACATTTTCTAGGTTCCAGCATCTATCAAACACTAAAATATAAAGACTTTGGTGGACGGATCCTTTAACCCAGCCATTCTCAACCAGGACTCTGTGGAACCCTAGGGTTCCTTCAGAGGTTGCTAGGGGTTCTCTGAGCTGTGGCTAATTGACCTCCCATTTGATGTTGTCTGCATAGTTCCAGGGGCAAAGCCACTTGGCAAAGTCAATGCAATAACACCAAGTATTTTTTTTTCAGCTATCTGTAAGGGTGGCATTCTGACCACCACTGCCTTCTTCCCACTGACCACCAATGTAAGAGGCATTTTTCATACTGAACACCAATGAACTGGCTTTAGCCGGCGTTCCCCAAGATCTGAAAATGATGTCAAGGGTTGCTCCAAGGTAAAAAAGGTTGAGAAAAATGCCTTAACCTGTCTACATTAACAAGTTAATTCATCTTATACAGTGGGGATCAAAAGTTTGGGCACCCCAGCTAAAAATTTGTATTAATGTGCATAAAGAAGCCAAGGAAAGATGGAAAAAATCTCCAAAAGGCATCAAATTTATAGTTTAGACATTCATATTAGACATTCTTATAATATGTCAACAAAAGTTAGATTTTATTTCCATCATCCCAACCTGGCCTATTATGATTAAATATAAAACAATATTTTTTCAGCCGATTTCCACTACGATGATGACAAGATTGTAGGAGGCTACACTTGCCCAGCCAACTCCGTCCCCTACCAGGTGTCCTTGAACTCTGGCTACCACTTCTGTGGAGGGTCCCTCATCAATGACAAGTGGGTGGTCTCTGCTGCTCTCTGCTATTATTTCAGGTCTAATATATAGTTTTTTTATATATTGGTGTTCACAAATGGTGGCAAGTATGACAAACTGACTCTTTGTCATAAAAAAAAAAAAAAGTTTAAAATATCTCCTCTAGTCCTTCATAGAACTTTATTTAACATACCATTGCTTGTTTGCTCTGTAGGTAAATGTTCCCTTGTAAGATGTGTCATGGGCAGAAAGAATATTACTGTACATGGAATGAAAAGTGTGCAGACAAGCAGGGGTGGACTGACCATTCAGGCACTCGGGCACTGCCCGAGGGCCCGGGGTCAGTAGGGGGCCCCATGAGATGCCCCTGGTACATTTCATAGGCTTTTTTGGATGTGGTTTGAGTGTGGGCGAGGACACAGGGGCCCCATGATCCCCTATTGCCCGGGTGGCCCCATGAGTTATCAGTCTGCCCCTGCATACAAGATATCTGCTCATTCCATGCTACTGACAGCTGCACAGGCATTAGTAAAATTGGAGAGCGCAAAATCTGGTGCAGCTCTGCACAGAAATCAATCAGCCTCCAGGTTTTTTGTCAAAGCTTCATTGGACAAGCTGAAGATAAAGGCTGATTGGCTACCATGCACGCCTGCACCAGATTTTGCACTCTTCAGTTTTAGTAATTCAACCCCATAGGCTAAACCTCACATCATCAGGTGAAATCAAACAACGGCAATCTGAAACAGAAAAAAAAAAACATACAACAAAAACACGTCCTCTATACAATCAGGGAGTAAGTTTCTATTTCCATCCATACATATTAAACAAAGCTTGCAGAAAAATCAAATGCTGACCAGAGGAGGAAACACTATTACAATGAATAAGCCAGTGTCACTCATAAAAATGAGTCAAAATTAAGACCCACAGGGTGCCTGGTTTGCATTTGAAAAATTCAATATACACTGCTCAAAAAAATTTGGACAGTCTGAGGTGAAACCTGGCGGCGTTGGATGGACCGAAAAATGATATCCCAGAGGTGTTCTATTGGATTTAGGTTAGGCAAGCGTGGGGGGCATTCAATGGTATCAATTCCTTCATCCTCCATGAACTGCCTGCGTACTGTCACCACATGAGGCTGGGCATCGTCATGCACCAGGAGGAACTTAGGACCCACTGCACCAGCGTAGGGTCTGACAATGGGTCCAAGGATTGCATCCTGATACCTAATGGCAGTCAGGGTGCCATTGTGTAGCCAGTAGAGGTCTCTGTGTCCCTCCATGGATATGCCTCCACAGACCATCACTGACCCAGCACCAAAACGGTCATGCTGAACAATGTTACATGCAGCATAACGTTCTCCATGGCTTCTCCAGACCCTTTCATGGCAATCACGTGCTCAGGGTGAACCTGCTCTCATCTGTGAAAACCACAGGGCGCCAGTGGCAGACCTGCCAATTCTGGTGTTCAATGGTAAATACCAATTGAACTCTATGGTGCTGGGCAGTGAGTACAGCGCCCACTAGAGGACGTCAGGCCCTCAGGCCACCCTCATGAAGTCTGTTTCTGATTGTTTGGTCAGAGACATTCCCACCAGTGGCCTGCTGGAGGTCATTTTGTAGGGGTCTGGCAGTCCTCATCCTGTTCCTCCTTGCATAAAGGAGCAGATACCGGCCCTGCTGATAGGTTAAGGACCTTCTACGGCCTTGTGCACCTCTCCATTACATTAACTGTAACATAAACATTATGATAAATCTTCTTTAAGGACTGAGATTGGGAACCACTGGGCTAGAGGGAAACAGTGGGGCTATCAATTAGAATGATGTGACCACAAAAACCCTCCTCTCTTACAGACGTATTGAGGTCAGGCTTGGCGAACATGACATTGAGGTCTTGGAAGGGACAGAACAGTTCATCTCCTCTGCTAAGATCATTCGCCATCCTAAATACAACTCCTACCTTCTGGACAATGACATCATGCTTATTAAACTGTCCCAGCCTGCAGTGATAAGCTCCAGGATCCAGGCCATCCGTCTGCCCAGCGAGTGTGATTTGGCCGGGACTCATTGTTTGATCTCTGGTTGGGGCAACACTTTGAGCAGTGGAGGTGAGTCCAAGGGTGTTTTAATATTATTCTCAATCACTAATTTCAGAAGAGTGAGATATTTAATTCTATTTGGTTAGAGAAAACACAAATACTTCTGCTAAGAAAATTTTGCACAACAGCCTCACTGCACATCCTAAGATGTCCACTCATCCCTGAATGTTCTCCTTGCTAGCTAACTACCCAGACCTCCTGCAGTGTCTTGAAGCCCCCATCCTGTCTGATGAGAACTGCCAAAACTCCTATCCTGGTCAAATCACTGGAAACATGATCTGTGTTGGGTACCTTGAAGGTGGTAAAGACTCTTGCCAGGTGAGTAAAGCTTCAATAAAGCATGACCTCCTGACAATTATCATCCGGGCATAAAGGAGCATTATCTCAAGTCAGATACAGGGTTCTTTTTAGAATCTTATATTTTGGTGTCCCAAGATGATGGCAAATTAACAAAGTACTATAAACTGACACTTGGGGGGGTTATTTACTAAACCTAGAGAGTGCAAAATCTGGTGCAGCTCTGCATAGAAACCAATCAGCTTCCAGGTTTTTTGTCAAAGCTTATTTGAACAAGCTAAAGTTAGAAGATGACTGGCTACCATACACAGCTGCACCGGATTCGGAGTGCTCCGGTTTTAGTAAATTACCCCCTTGGAGTCCGATTATGAACAAAGCAAAAAGGTTGAGAATGTCTCCTCTTGTTCTTCAAAGAACGTCATTTGACCCCCTTGTGTATGCAACCAGTAGATTGGCACACCTTTGCATGATACCCCGGGCAGAGACAACTATGTTTCAGTTTCAAATGGGCATTGTGCATTCTTGCCATCTGCTTATTTCATGCTATTGACAGTTGCATACGAATTAGCATGTCTCTACTTAGGTATGACATGGTGATCACATGGGTTTGTTTGCAAACAGTTGCCCATCAGTGAGTGCATGCACTCATTGTGCACAAAAAAGGTAATTCTTTTTTAAAACATAAGAAGAAAATTTTAAAAAATATTTTTTAAAAAACCCCCTAAAACTAACTTTTTGGCGTTTTGTCAGACTATAACAAAGGGCATTTGTTAAAACATGAAACAAAATTCAAGTCATACATACCACTGTTTGTAAATTCAAGTCCTTAAAATACCATTGTAAAAATCTTTCAGGTATTGCCAAGTTAACTAATACATACATATGCTGGTAGATTTGGTCTAGGCATCAGTGACATCTGTCCATGAAAGGACTAAATATGGCAGATTGGTGACAGAAATAAAAACTGAAGCCCAGTCATTTAAAAAAATGAAGGGTCCAGAGTTTGTAAAAATAAAAGGAAAATATAACTTTCACTGTAATACTCACTGTCAGTTCAGGGCTGTCCCCCACACTACTTCTTCACCAATATTTGATGTTGCCAGTCTTCTGTCTTCTGTCAAGGAAAAACGGCTTAAAGTGAATATGTAATTCTAGACCAGAATCAACTCATTTACAAATTCTGATTAAAATTGTAAAAATTCAGACTTTTTCCACACAGGAGATGGAAACAAACAATAATCTCACAGGGTAAAAAACCCTGATTGTGGCATATGCAGCATTATTTGGAAGAAAATCCTCTTATCTACGATTGTAGCCTTCATAACACAGAGTACAGCAAATGCCGCTTTATGCATTGACATACCACCTTAGACCCAGCCTGTCCAGAGAGTGTGTCACCTCCTGACTTGGCAGCATCCACAGGCAGCTTCAATCTTGAAGTTGAATTCAATGCAATTTTACATCAGATAATTGCAGTACATAGGATGTTTTCCTATTCCTTTGAAATGGAAGAAGGCAATGGGGTAGATTTACTAAAACTGGTACACTGAGAATCTGGTGCAGCTGTGTATGGGAGCCAATCAGCTGCCAACTTCAGCTTGTCCAATTAAGCTTTGGCAATAAAACCTGGAAGCTGATTGGTTTCTATGCAGATCTGCACCACATTTTTCACCATGCAGATGATTTTCCTAAGCCTTGTCTCTGTGAAGTACTAATACTGACTGAGGGAACATGGAAGAAACAGAGAGTCTAGACAGGAGGTAACTAACACGCACTAAAGAGGAGGGGAGGACAGATACCAAATAACATAGTAAACAAGCTGTAGTGGCTCTAAATGGCCAATAAATCCTTAAAAAGTGGGAAAGAACATATATGTTAGCTTCTTTATAAGTTGGGCACATATAAATGCCTCTGACTAAAGGACATCTTTATTAAAAATGTTCACAATGTGTTTCATTTAAACTATATCAAGTCATGGAAATATAATTTAAACAGGTAATAGAGGCCCTACTTGTAAGGGTGTAGGCAGGTGCAGGCTGTATTCTCTATTGCAGGTGGCGCTCGACCATAAAGGGGAGAGGAAGTTGAGAGGAAATGGGTTCCTCTATCGTTTCCTCGGTCACACAGGGGCAGTTATCTAATTGTATACTCATTTCCCATGTGACTCTGGTGGCCATCTTGGGTCAAGCAGAGTCTATGTAAGATTCTTGACTCCCGGGTTTGGCGCACTTTATGCTAGTGCCTTAGTGTAGGGACAGGTTCCCCATCTGTCAGGGACAGTGCTTAGCGATAGGGAAAAGGTTCCAGGGGAGTGGGAAGAGTGCAGGGACTACGTCTACCTCTACAGGAAGCTTCCCATTTGGGTTGGACCGGCAAGGCCGCATTCCACGACAACTGCTGTCTCACCACTGTGTAATTCTCCCCACGGGGGCGGTTTGTACTTGCTGAATTTCATTTACAATACATTTGTTTTGAAAAATTGGAGCTCTGTGTGCTTACTGCCTGCCACACCATGCTACCCCTATCACATGGTAAGTTATTCTTTCTGTATCAGGTAATTGGAATGTTGGTGGGATCTCAGAATTTTCACCTAAGTTATTTTGCATTTGAAACCAGTAAAAGAGATAATAAGTCTCAGTTTCTTTCCTTCAGGGTGACTCTGGTGGTCCTGTGGTGTGCAATGGCGTGCTGCAGGGGGTGGTCTCCTGGGGTATTGGCTGCGCTCTTCCTGGCTACCCTGGCGTTTACACCAAGGTGTGTAACTACGTGTCCTGGATTGGAGACACCATTTCCCAGAACTAAACATCTCTACAGGGAATGGTGGCATGAGAAGGAAGACTTGTATCATTCCAAATCCAATAAAATCATGAGCATGAACTGTTACTTTCCTTGTTTTATTTCATATGCAATAGAATATTTTGTATTCTGTAGTATTACATTTAGTGCGTTGCCACTGAAGAATGCAGAGCAAAGTTTGGAGCTACTGTTGTGGAAACCTGGGGTGATCCGCCAGGCACCTGAATATATCTACTGTTTAGTCTGGGCTTGCTTTTTTTTTGGGGGGGGGGGGGGTTAAACACCACTCATACCTTATGACCAAATCATTAATTTAATTTCACCCTAAGCTCAATGCTTTGTGTAGTTTCTTAAAGCCCACTATTTTCATAGCTTTTGAGTGATTACTAGGGGTGTATTTATACAAAAATAATTTCTGAGCTATTATTCCTTTAAAACAGCATGTACTGTACATTTGTTCTGTGAGCATGGAGGCAAAAAAATGTGATGTGCTAACACTGCATGGTATGAGGTGCAGCTCTGCATAGAAACCAATCAGCTTCCAGGTTTTATTGTCAAAGCTTAACTGAACAAACTGAAGTTAGATGCTGATTGGCTACCATACACAGCTGAACCAAATTCTGAGTGTTCCAATTTTAGTAAATCTCCCCCATGTCTTTTTTGCAAGGGGTACATTCTTGTAAAGTTTTATTTTAGTAACTTTAAGTCAGTGGCGATCAACCTTCTTAATATGGGGGGCCTCAAGTGTGGCCCCTGACATCACCAAAGGGCTGCACCTAAAATTTAGTGCATATTCATTATTAGAGACAGCAGACACACAGCAAAACCCGAAAGTGACAGGTACTCGCTCCCACTTCTGCTGCAATCACCTAGGCGATCAGAAGCGAAAGTTGTCCTCCATCCCCTCCCTCTCTGTAGTTTTCTGGGACACGTGACAGGCCCCAGAAGACTACAGGACTATTCAGAAATAGCAGCGCTACTCGCGTATGCGCAGTGGGTACCCGGCTGTGAAGCTGCAAGTTGTCACAGTTGGGTGGCCACACTGAAGATGCTGGGGACGGCCAGTGAAACGGGCTGCGGGGCGGACACCGCAGGATCGAGGGACAGGTGAGTGACTATTCTTTAACTGTCAGCAGCTACATTTTTTGTAGCTCCTGCCTTTTATTTTTTTATAGTGTGACTGGAACTCCACCTTAAATCACATTGCAATTTGGGCAAGCATACATGTAACCCCAGGCTGGGGGTAAAGCCTGGGGTCACATGTATGATAGCATACATGTGACCCAGGGTGTTCCCTTCCAAGCTGGATCTGCTGGGCAGAGCAGTATCTGAATGAAGGACAAGGCTGGATCTGCTGGGCAGAGAGGCACCTTAATCCAGGACAAGGCTGGATCCGCTGGGCAGGGGGGTATCTGAATCCAGGACAAGGCTGGATCCGCTGGTCAGGGGAGTATCTGAATCCAGGACAAGGCTGGATCCGCTGGGCAGGGGAGTATCTGAATCCAGGACAAGGCTGGATCCGCTGGGCAGGGGAGTATCTGAATCCAGGACAAGGCTGGATCCGCTGGTCAGGGGAGTATCTGAATCCAGGACAAGGCTGGATCCGCTGGTCAGGGGAGTATCTGAATCCAGGACAAGGCTGGATCCGCTGGGCAGGGGAGTATCTGAATCCAGGACAAGTCTGGATCCGCTGGGCAGGGGAGTATCTGAATCCAGGACAAGTCTGGATCCGCTGGACTTTAGATATATATATTTCAAATGTCTTTTCCCAGCCTATATAAGGAGTCCTAAGCCATGGAATTGGAACTGTCCCATTTTTTCATCTTGTGCTTTGCAGTTGACCAATACTTGACCCAATTTTCAAGTTTCTACTCCCTGGTTGTGGTTTCACAACCTGGTTCTGACCTCGCCCTCTGCTGATGACCTCTTTCCTGCAGCCTCAACTTCACTTCATAACTGCTAATCTGGCTCTGATGCTTTCCACCTGCATTCTTATTAATGTAAAACCATTTAGAGCTCTATTGTCTTCTGGTGGCTCAATCTCGATCTTCCACCTAGGCTTTTCATTGTATCTCTGTTGTTTGTTTAAAAACATGCGTTTTCTATATCTAGTATTGTAATGCCGGATGATGAAAGCTAGTTTGTTGAGAAAGCTTGCATGTTTAAAATGTTAAAGGAGAATTCTAGCTTAACCCTAACTCGTCTTAGGTAAATTAAAGAAAGAACAAATGCATGGACTTTTGAGGCACCCACAAAGACCAATTTTTTTGTGTAAAAACATTTGTATTCTCCGATTTATAAATCAGTTAAAATCCTAACAAAGTTGTTTAAAAATCCTTTCCCATTTCAAATAACCTTTATAAGCTAATCATATAGTTAATTAACATCTTAAGATATTCATGGTTACAATTCCACTGGTTTACTGTTCATACACAGCAGACTATAGGCAGTTGCACTTGATGCATTTCTCAGGAATCTTTCTTCAGAAATATATGGGCATATGCAGGAATTATGGTACACAATGACTTTGCCTCAAGGCCTACAATAGGACCAGGGCAGAGGGAAAAGCACCTACAGGAGAGGTCACAAACACACTTCATGGGCAACAGTAGAGGTCTCAAATTTGTAGAGAAGCAAAGAGACACTGGTGTCAAGTAGTACTGTGGTGGTAGGTATAATGGCATTCAATGGTTGAAACTCATGGAGACAGCTAACCTGTCACTGTGCAAAAAAAGATATTATTCTTACCTATTTTCAACCCGCTCTGGTCCGGTCACATGATCCAGCTCCCCTGTTTTATCCAACGGTAGCTGCAGGGGAGAATATGGAGAGCTGACAATGGATGGGACATAGGAGCCCATGGGTGACATCACCTCTCCAGGCTTTAATAGCTGTTGTTGGAGAACTCTCTTCTCTCCCCCACTGCCACCGCTGGCTGTCACGCAGGAAATCACATGATCACAGGACTGGAGCATGCTGAAAATAGGTATGTACATGCATCTTTTTTACATAGGTTAGTCAACATAGGTGTTATGAGTGGGGGGGAGAGCATTGTTATTGTTAGTTAGAGGTTAATTAATTCTAGAATTCTACTTTAACCACTTTACAACCGTGCTATAGCCGAATGACGGCTACAGCTCGGTTACGCAGTTCTGGGAAGGAGTCATATGACGTCCTCTCAGAACGCGCCCGGCGATCTCTGTGAATGCTGTGTCTTACAGACACAGCTGATCAAATGATGAGGTAAAAGGCCAATCACAGCGGCCTTTTACCACAAGATCTGCCATGTTCAATGACACAGCAGTTCACCAAGTAAAAACAGTTGCCGGTTATCGGCAGCACTTTCCTCACGCTGTCACAAATTTCACACTGATCATCAGTGCCCAGTAGTGCCACCCACCAATGCCCAGCAGTGTCACCCATCAATGCCCCCAGTGCCACTCATCAGTGCCCAGCAGTGCCACCAGTCAGTACCATCAGTTAATACCGCCAGTCAGTGCTGCCCGTCAGTGTTGTCCTTAAATGCCGCCTATCAGTGCCCATCATTGCTGCATATCAGTGCAGCATCATCAGTGCCATCTCATCAGTACAGCCTATCCTGCCCATCAGTGCAGCCTATCCATGCCACCTCATCAGTGCTGCCTATCAGTGCAGCCTCATCAATGCACATCAGTGAAGGAGAAAAATTACCTGTTTGCAAAATTTTATAATTCCTATTTTTTTGTTTATAGTGCAAAACATAAAACACCCAGCGGTGATTAAATACCACCAAAAGAAAGCTCTATTTGTGTGAAAAAAAATGATAAAAATGCCATATGGGTACAGGGTTGCATGCAATTGTCATTCAAAGTGTGAGAGCAACGAAAGCTGAAAATGGGCCTGGGCACAAAGGGGTAAAAGTGCCCGGAAGGCAAGTGGTTAAAACAGAACTTAAGGCTGACCTCCTAGATTGTAAGCTCCAAGGAGCAGGGCCCTCCTATCCCTCTTGTATTGTCTCCCTTTATATTGTAAAGCGCTGAGCAAACTGTTGGCGCCATATAAATATAATAATATAAAAGACACACATTAATGCAGCTCTGTAATCATTAGTACAGCAAACCCTACCTGTTTGGTCGCAATCACTCTCTTCCCAGGGCGGTGGTTTTGCTGAGGTGGAGGCCATCAATACTGGGTCAACTGTTAAGCTCAACTGTTAAGCTCAACTGAAAAATCAGGCAACCAATTATATGAAACGTGCATTGTAATCCACCAATCAGCCATAACATTATGACCACTGACAGGTAAAGTGAATAACATTTATCATCTGTTTACAATGGCACCTGAAAGTGGGTCAAATATATTAAGCAGTAAGTGAATATGTTGTTGATGTGTTGAAAGCCGAAAAAAATGGACACGTGTAAGGATTTGAGAGACTTTGACAAGACCAAATTGTAATGGCTAGATGACTGGATCAGAGCCAGGGGCGGACTGACCATTTGGAAACTCGGGCACTGCCCGAGGGCCCGGGGTCAGTAGGGGGCCCCATGAGATGCCCCTGGTACCTTTTTCATAGGCTTTTTTGAGTTTGGGCAAGGACACGGGGGCCCCACGATCCCCTATTGCCCGGGGGCCCCATGAGTTGTCAGCCCCTGATCAGAGCAACTCCTAAACTGCGGCTCCTGTGAGATGTTCCCGGTCTGCAGTGGTCCAAGGAAGGAAAACCAGAGAACCAGTGACAGGGTTATGGGCAGACAAGGCTCATTGATGAACATGCAGGCCCAGTGACCTGTTCAACGTGCTGCATCCACCGAACCCCACCATCTGCCCACCATGCAAGGCACCATTGATTCATTGCCTAGGAATACATTTATTATGCTGAAGGGTGCGGGTAACAGACAGTACTATGTGTAGGAATGTGCTATTCTGTGTACTCTGTACAGTATATATTCAAAAGGAAGTATTTGTGGCATGGTAGTCTCATGGTATGATCACCTTATATTTCATTGGTACAGGACCGTTTGACAAAA